GGGGGGGGGGGGGGGTTCCAAATCCATTTCCCACCTGAAATTTTGGCAAAATCCCAGTTCCAGTTGGATTTTTATTAGAAATCCCAGTCCGAGTTATTGAACTTCCAGTCAATAAAAAACCTTTTATTTATCGGTATAGAATAAACAGTTTTGAGACCTTTTAAGCCAACCTCGTCCCCTTCGCCTCCTTCCTTAAAAGGCCCTGGGGACGAGGTTGCTTTTAAGCCACCGTGTGTGCAATGAAATTATGAAATGATGAAATATGGGGGGGGGGGTGGGGTTGGTGGCGAAGGCACAGAAATTTTTTAAATTTGAATCCCGGAAATGGCATTTGCGGCATTCTAAGACACGCATAATCAGAAAACCCGGAATTCCGGGCGCCAGAGTGTGCCTGTTCGCAGGTAGTGCTGTGAATAATATAGTTAACAACAAAAATCATGACCAAAGACACCGAAAACGGATCAAAATTGTATTTTAAAACACTTAAAATGTAGAAAAATTGGGAATCGACTCGCATTACCTCAATCCCATTCCCATTTTTGAGGACTTCATGTCCCATTCTCAGTGGCCAAATCCCAGTCCCAGCAACCCAAATCCCATTTTCCCAGTCTAAAATTAGATCAATTCCAGTTCCCATTTTACCCCTTCAGGGCCCTCCAATATTACTCGTAGTGTTATAATTAATTGCACTCCTTCCTGTGTGATTAGCTATACTTATATTGCATTGACATTCATATTACAGTGAACTATAATTGCTGATGTTTTATGATTATTGTACATTATTTTTGGTGCCCCCCCCTGACTGGTTGATAAATTTTTGGTTGCCCCCCCTCCTACAAATATCGTCCGCCTCCCCCCCTGGCATTAATAATGACTGCTCCCTACGAAGGATTTTCAAGATATGAAATATTAGGCTACCGCTATAGTCTAGCGCAAGGGGGTTTGATACACATTGCGAGGTAAATTGTTCTTTTTCAAACTTTGAAAGTCATTCACGCCACGGAGTTCTGTCGTGATGGCTTTTTGTTGCTTTTAGTTTGTATACTTCGCTGATTTTGATTCAACATTCTTCTTTAGGTATTAAATACGATTTAAAGTTACTCTTGCATTTTTATGTTTGTTATTTTTAGCATTTAGTGTGACATTTAACATATATAAAACATTTTCCGTGTTGATATACAGTTATATCAACACGAGTGGAATTGGGAAAACGAGAAATTGTATGGAAACACGACGCCCGAAGGCGAAGTGTTTTCATACAATTTCGAGTTTTCCCAACTTCCACGAGTGTTGATATAACTATATATCAATACAGAACAAATGTTTTATATATTTTTTATAATATAACAATGTCAAAAGCCCGAAGGATAAGCAAAATTTCCGTGTTTACAAGCGGCGGAAAATTTCCCGTGTTGACATTGAGTTATATCAACACGGCTCTTAGCCAATCAGCGTTCAGAATTTACAAATGCTATTATTATAAAAACAAACTGCATGACATTTGAACAAAGATTATTTTCGAGTAGGTTGCGCAATTGTATACACCAGTTATACAGTTATACAGCTATTTCAATTAAGATTGTCCCCCGGGCAAAGCGGAAAAGTCGAATACGAGCGCGAAAGGCTGCTGGGATTCGGTAATAAATGAATGAAGTTATT